TTGAAGGGTCCTCCGTACACCGATCGAGTGGTAAGTGTAATAAGTCTCATTGCACAAAAAGTTAACTACCAAGCCATCAGGTGGGGTGCACGAAAATATATGTTGATTTTTGTTGTGTGAATAGGTTCAACTGAACTCATCTCATTCACAAGCCTGTTTCATTAGTAATGTACTTGATAGGCACAGCGACTTGCCACCATGTGTAACAGTCCACATACGTTAGTAGGAAAGAGTATCCAGTTTACTCAGGCAAGTGTCCTAACAAATCAAGATGAACGTGGTTGAAACGAGAGTCAGGAGTTACAAAAATAACCATGGGACATGAGTTGTACATAACCACCCTGGATTTCTTCTAGTTTACACTGAAGCATTCCTACTCTCTCACGTCTTTATATATACCAGGCTAACAAAATTGTTCTGCTAAAAACTCGATGGATGCTCGGACACACTAATGAGGACGTTTCCCAAGCTGCCAGCTTTGGGGAAATCCCCAAAATTTTAGAGAAATTCCCCGAAATGTTCGTAGCGCAGTTTTCCACTATAACACCTCATCGACATAAAATAAATAAACCTTAAAGTAGTAAGTTCGAATAAATAATTTTACATTTTAATACGATACAGACTTTTGGTGAGGAATAGTCTATCGAATTTCAGGTCTTGTTTTAATACATTGTTGATGTCTGAAGTTCACTTTGAGGATTACCTCAAAGTTCGGTGGATGATAATTATCACTGGATTCATCACTGAAACGTGAACACAAAATACCTACAAATATGTTAATACAGTAACGTGTTCGCCAGTTCCGGAGAAAGGAGGTATTTCAGACAGGCATTTGCTGATTTCCGAAGATCATCACATAGTAGATGGTATAATCTTCCCACCTAAAATTTCTTCAAACACCTGTTACAACTTACGAAATGATCCCAGAATCTTTGGTTTTCTAAAGCTGCCTTTAAATAATGCAACTCGTCATGCGTTCTTAATGGGAAAGTGATTGCAGCACTATCCTTTTCTTCCATACGCCTCTCACTTACACCCATGGCTAAGCGTTCACATACAGCGATCACTTTATCCACCTTGCTAGATAGTTCAGTGACAGCTTTCAGGATAATTCTCAATATTTGATTTGTATCATCGCACGAACGTTTGTTATCAGGAATACAGTAAATGCAACTTATGGTTTATTAACTTCCGTCGAAGTACGTGGAAGTGGTGGTGATACATCAGCTTTTGATGAACTGCTATATGAGTATTAATAAAGTAGGTACAAACCTCGCAATCAAAGAAAAGTTTCCTGTCAAAATGCTGACAACTTAAAATTCCACCGGGGTAAATCCAGCCTGAAACTCATCAACCTCTAGTTCTTCTGAGGTGCATAAATAATCGGTAATTTTTCGTTTCACAGTCCTAACACAAGTGATATGATAAGTTGAACAATTTACTTTTTCGGCTTTTCAGCGTCACACGGCTGCGTTTCATCGTTAGTCGTGATGTTAGTATTGTAGCCCAGTATTGTTTTTAAACACACTTTTAATTCCTGGGCTACATTGTAGTCGTCTGAAAACAATAAATGTTAATTGATTACAACTTACCACAACGATGCATAACGGTGCATTTTTTCACGTTGAATCGACTGTCAACATCAATACCCTCAACAATTTCGTGCTCATCGATATCATCACGATAAAGGTAATGATCGTTGGTCAGGAGCCATTTGTCCGGAATGCAGAGCACTTGCTGCTTCTCCTTATCTTCAACTAAAATGTACTGCCACTTTGATGCTGTAAATGAATGGACGACGCAAAATCACTAAGCAACAGACACTTACTAGCAAACGTGCTATATTTGCGACAGGAATTGACTTTGCTTATTTTAATGTATGTAAAAGAGGTATAATAACCTCATAATTTTGTGTCCTTATACAAACACATTTACAAAGTATGTCTGTTACTGTAATCCACGTTCACTCGTGGCTTAAGGTAGTGCATTTAAATACACCGATATTACCGGATGGAAAAGGGTCCGTATATAAATCTGAGGGGTCAAGGAATGCTCGAAACCTAAATTGACCTCCCTCACTTATTTCTGTTACAAACCCTTGTCTACCTTTTGCAATAACTACATTGTCCGGCCTTGTGTTTCTGTAAGTGATGACTACCTTGAAAGAATCAGTTACCTCAGGCCCAGTGACGTTGTCAGCCACATCCTGATTCAGTATACTTTGAGAGTAAACTTCTTCGGTATATCGCTGTGCGGCTTGTTTAGCCGCAGCAAATCCGCAGTGTACTGAACACCTAATTTTTCTCATGTAAGACTCAAAAGGAAATGCCGAGAACGATTCTAAACTACCATGTTCCATAACGTTGTCTGCTTTAAACTATGCACATTGTAGAATAAGTGTTCCGTACCGTAACACCTTTGGTAACCTAATAAGAAGTTATTAATGTAAACCCGAACACTGTTAGCGAATGTGCTATGAAACTTAGGGTGCGATAATAAATACATAGACAAAAAGAGTGACTGGAAATTTCTGTACATTGATAGTGGTAACCTATTACGAAGAACTACAGGTCCTAAGTATAATAAGAACAACCGACATTCAGTTGCTTTCCATACAGAAACCTCATAAAGTGAACGACATTTCCGTGGAAAATCGCATGTGGTGTGTTGTGTACATTTATTTATTTATTTCAACACATAGATATTGGTACAAAGAGGCACCAAATACATATGCCCCACACAAATCTCATTCGATATGTGTGAGGGCTGTGATACTGCCCGGGTGCCCAAACCGAAGCAGGTGGTTTTCTTAGAGGACCACACCCCGAGCCTTCGACCTGAGGGTTTGATCCACAAGACAGTGGAGCATCGTAACGAGATGCAGTCCCATGGAGGCCGGTGACCAACGAATGGTTCATACGCCATTTGTTCCCGCAGGATACTGGAGCCCACATGCACCATTGGTTTGAAATCAGGGTTTTCCAACTCCACTAGGTGGACTCTCCGTGTCCACCAACTCAGTTTAAGCGCCGGACATTCGCTTTTCGTCCTCTCATTTTCGTAAACAACACCTTCGCCACGAGAAGACAGTGAGTAGGACTTCGCTGGCAGAGGCTATATACGCGTGGCCATGTGAGAAGATTTCGAGAGGGAGAGCGGACTCTCCCCACTCTCGGCCGTACCAGGGCATTTAGAGGCGCGGCTATGCCGCCTACTAAAGAGCACTTGACCGTCCGCCAGGGGGCTCCGCGGAGTCACAACACATAAATTTTTACCAATGAATACACCTACGCAGACAATTTGAACTGAGCTGAGAACGAATTTTTATTGTGTAAACTAATTATATGTATGTGAGCTAAGGAGCGGAATTTATCTAATTTGATCGACGGTTTACGTGAAAATCAAAACACAGCACAAAGTTAAGAAATTTTATTGCACAAAATTGGCGAAGCGTAAAGTAGAATCAGCAACACTAAGAAATTCAGGAGTCAAGGTTTGCTGTTGCATAAAAACGTTGAATGGATCCGCAGGTTCTGATTGAGCGTTTTGTGTGTAGTATCAATGAAACCGTCCGTAGGGATATAAACCGTTAGGTCAATAGATGTTTGAACTAGAATATGTACCATCATTCGAGTATCATTTTCGGATGTGGATACGGGTTCGATGAAAGGGAGGAATAAAAAGATGGAATTAGCGGTGATATCAGGTGAGCACATTTGGCCATTAGTATCTGCAATCCAAATTTGACCACCTACAGGAGTTAAGATACGATTGTAACTTCCAACCCAAGCTTTAGCTGGACTGATTTCGGGTCCAAGTAAACTTCAGCGGAATAAATCAAAAGGTAGATAAAGATGTCAATTGTCGGAATATATAGGTTTTTTGTGGAACAAACGTCGATGATTTTCGAATCGCCTAGATTTGCTATTCTTTTGACCGGAAGAAAGTTATTGCATGCTAAAAGACCAGGGTCTTCGGCTGTTTGCCAAAAGTATTTCGAGTTGAGTTTCAAATCTTGCTTAACCATTATATCTTTTGTAATGGTGACGTTATTTGCTTAGATTTGTGTAATGGAACCTGAAGAATCTTCCGCGATATACATATAGGGTGCCACACTGAACGATGTAACGTCCATAGACGTAGTCCCTTGCAAGCTTTTTTGAAGAGGTATGAAGTGAGATATACGAAGATAAGCAGAATGAAATGGCATAACGGGAAAGCTCGTGCAAACGACTTAAAAGGTTCTTGGAGACCTGTTTCAGCTGAATTAATGCTCCAAAAATCGAAACAGGTATAGGGTAAGCAGGTAATTGAAAATTCGGCACTATCATCGTTTGGTTTATATTGGTTGACGGTAAGATGGTTTTTTCGAACAATGCGGATTCTTGATTAGTAATAACGTGGTTTAATGAGTCTGCAAAGGGGTAGTACTTCTCCATGTACTTCTGTTGTAGGAGATTCTTCTTCATTGGAATCCGCCTCCATCCGAGTACGTTTTCCTGATAAAGCCATACAAGTGACAAGAACAGAATTGAAATGGTGGTTCTGGTATGGTGGTTCCTACTTCTTGTGTGAAGTGGTAAGTGAGGCATCGTTTATATATAGCGTACTTGTCCACAGCATTTATATACATACCCAAGTTATTATTGGTGGATATTAAAACCGGTATGCGTGGTAGCGTTTCATCTGGTTGGTGCTTAATGTGAATGTTAAAAGTCGAACCTCCTAATAGTTCTTTATAGTTATTAACTGTCACGGGTGTTCTTGGTTCTTCCATGAGTGCAATAGATTTATTACTCAGGTTCTGTAAAAAGAATTGTGAGTGGTCTCCGCTTCGTTGAACCTGGCCAAAGTTGTAATTGTCGGTAATGAGTCTCAGCATCATCGTTTTGCCTGTTGTTGATGTTCCCTCAATACAAAGTGTGTTAATACGTTTCTTCGTCTTATGTATGATACATATGACATCGTCTATAAATTTTTTAGGGTTGATTGAGTTTATTTTAAAAAAAGCATCGGACCACCGGATCTGGATGGTAGCAATATTTTTCGTGGTGATTTTCGGAGATCCATTCCAGAAATGAAGCTGACATTTGTTTCTTCATGTTAGTTTCGTTATAAATTTCGATACATAGTAGAGCAGTTTCTTCCCATTGTTTGCCGTATTCATCGTATTCATTCGCTCTGGTCTCAGCCGATAATTTATGTTTAAATTGTCGCATTTGTGTAACATTATGTAGTGTAACCAAATCCATCAAATGTGTTCTCCTGTGCATTCGATTATTATTCAATGGTCGTGATTCTCTACAAGATTCTCTCGTAAATAGTGAACAATCTTTTTCATTAAGTGTAACGAGCTGAAATTGATCATAATAATTTTTGAGCTTAATGCCAATTAATTCAGACGTGTAATTTGTTTTCCGGACTAGATATGCCATGAAAACGTGCCAGTTTCGCACAGCTTGTAAAGTTACTCCTACGTCGCATGTTATACCACCGGCATTTAATATATTACGCATAGTGCGGAATCGATTATGAATGGATGATTGGAAAACAAAGTGATAGTGATCAAAATGATTTATTATGATTGTGTTAATACGATTACCCTTAACAAATTTTGGTGGAGGACCTCTGTAAACAATGGTCCATAATTGATCTTCTTCGTGTTCTGGTTCAGTACCAGTCATTTCTTTCAATGTTTTTATAAAGTCGTCAAATTCATCTGATTGAGGGTTTTCTTGGTGTGAAGTGCTGGCAATAGGTATAGGTGAAGTTGGAGGGTTTTTTATACTATCTAAGAATTTAAACACCTCTTCGGTTTCTCCTGTGGTGATTGGTGACCATTCTGTTTCTGTCTTCTTTTTTGAGAACCAATGTGGTTCGTCGTTATCTAGATCTATTTCTGGTTGTAGTTTTCGTTTGGGTACATTGACGGTTTGTTGTAAGTACTCGTTTTCTGGTCTGATATTTGTAGCAGCACCATTTACTTGTATAGCTTCAAGTCTGCGTATTTCAGCTTCAATTTTCTCCTTTTCAGCACGTTTCTTCTTCCTAATAGCCTCCCACTGTGAGACCTGTGCATGAGTAACTGGGCGTTTCATTGATAATGTGAGCTGAAGAACGGAGTTTATATACTTTTTATGTGACTTCAAAGTTTTCTGATAACTCCGCTCATAGGCTCATTTATTGCATTAGTTAACTTTGCACCAATTGTCATTCTTTAAGAATCAACCCTCACCTCCTCACGTGCTCTCGAATAGGCGGCATAGCCGGGCCCTTCGGGCCTACATATGTCTAATGCATCATTTGTTGATGCAATAATTGATTGATCCATCCCATTAAATCGCTTAATAGTTAGCCCCTTCCTTAATGAAATAAGTTTTTTGTCTCACCTAAATATATCATATGCATCGATTCCGATGGAAAACACTTGATCATATCCACTGGCAGATTTTCAAATGAACTTCTACCACGATGATGGATATATTGAGACGTACTACGAAAAGTCACATCACTTCTCGATTCGTTTTCACCATTGAGGAAAGTCATCCACCCACCCATTTTTCTCCCTAGAACCTGACATCTGTCACATCCAGCGATACCATTGTGTTCCACAATGTACCTGACGTTGATGCGAGCTGGAGCGTCACAAATAACAGCAACTAATTTAAGTGTCAAATGTAGCTGATACTTATCTACATTAACACCTACTGTCAGCAACTCCTGTAACTCTGTTATAAGTGCTGCTGACATGTCGTTGAAATCAGATGGTTTTACTTCACCACCGTAGATCCCAACTATGAAAACACTACTAACTAATGGAGCTACTATGCGACCTAAGATGGGCCAGAGCTGTTGCTTAGAGGTTTTAAACAAGCTTAGACCATCGTAGTGTAACTGCAACTTCAGTTCGGTGAAACGGATTTGCCGTAGCCAATGTTCCGAAATTCTCAAGACTTGATTTCAATCCCAAGTGGTAATACGATCCAGAATCGAGGATCTTAGGCCACACGTCGTTGAATCGACGCAGAACATTCCAGACGGACGTTGGAAGTTCTGGCTACCACAGACGAAAAAGGTCTAATATTTGATCAGCCTTCTTCATGCTTATGTAACCACCTTTCATCATTTCAATGACTATTCTGTCTAACTGTTCTTTCATTGAAAGATGAATGGCTGGAGACATTTCTGACGCCACACAGCCTATAAATTTCTAATAATTAAAGAGATACTACCGCTGGTCGTTTTGTCTGAACACTGGACGCAACTACATGAAGCAGTAGCTGTATCTCTGACAATATTAGCCCACTGCTCTGTAGCTGCGGTAGCACGCAATTCTGTGACGGCAACTGGATTGTCTGTCTCTTCGTCACAGCTCGATAACTGACACTACTTTATAAAGTGTGCTTTTAACTTCCTCAAACTTCTGTAATAGGTTGCTCGGGAACATCCAAACAACCTCAGGCATTTTGTGGCTTCAGTCCGCCTTTTCGCAATCTTATCAACCTATCCAATATTATTCTGAAAGAAATAATTGACTTAAGTAAAACTGAACATAGACAGCACCCAAAGTTTTCGACCTGTACTGCTAATGACTCACCTGCATAAAGTTCGAATTTTAAAAAGTGGTTTACAACCGACAATTCTTTGTCTCGTGTCTGTTTGTTGATGTAATAAAACAAGACCTGAAATTCGATAGACTATTCCTCACCAAAAGTCTGTATCGTATTAAAATGTAAAATTATTTATTCGAACTTACTACTTTAAGGTTTATTTATTTTATGTCGATGAGGTGTTATAGTGGAAAACTGCGCTACGAACATTTCGGGGAATTTCTCTAAAATTTTGGGGATTTCCCCAAAGCTGGCAGCTTGGGAAACGTCCTCATTAGTGTGTCCGAGCATCCATCGAGTTTTTAGCAGAACAATTTTGTTAGCCTGGTATATATAAAGACGTGAGAGAGTAGGAATGCTTCAGTGTAAACTAGAAGAAATCCGGGGTGGTTATGTACAACTCATGTCCCATGGTTATTTTTGTAACTCCTGACTCTCGTTTCAACCACGTTCATCTTGATTTGTTAGGACACTTGCCTGAGTAAACTGGATACTCTTTCCTACTAACGTATGTGGACTGTTACACATGGTGGCAAGTCGCTGTGCCTATCAAGTACATTACTAATGAAACAGGCTTGTGAATGAGATGAGTTCAGTTGAACCTATTCACACAACAAAAATCAACATATATTTTCGTGCACCCCACCTGATGGCTTGGTAGTTAACTTTTTGTGCAATGAGACTTATTACACTTACCACTCGATCGGTGTACGGAGGACCCTTCAAAGCCCTCCATTGCAAAACTAAGTACTATAACGTAGCTAAGATAGGAACTAACAAAAACATCAGGATTAAGTGTCTTAAAGCCAAATATTAAGAAGAAAGTTCAATTATGTTGCTCCTCCCCGAACAATCGAGCGGCACGACGTCATCCCGATGATTAACGACTACGACGAAAGTAAGTTGGTGTACGATAACCAAGCCAATACACTCTGGGAGAACGGCTAAGTTTACAGGACACTTTCCGGACCATCAACACCTAGAGGCTTTTCGTTGGTGTGGCATCTGGATGCTGTTACAGACGATGCATATTCATTACAGCTATTTTGATTATTTACTGCAATTAATGCAAAATAAGTCACTGTTAAAGTCAATTATCGTTGATCGTACTTTCGTTGACAAGTTGATTAAACGAAAGGAAGTTACGCTTTTTTCATAAATATTGTTCACGGTTTATTTCACTTTCAGCTATATGTCGATTTATGACAACCAGGGATACTTCGTAAGTTCACTGTCGCCCTACGTCTACGAACATCCTCATTAACTTTTACTTGATTCATCTTACAGAAAAAACAGTACAGTTAGTAATAATCGAAAACAGAGAACATGGCGTAAGCTATTGGCGACTGTCAACTAGCGTGTCTAAACACTTCTGTTAAACAAACAACAATGTTTTAATGTATAAATCTCATGCGCTTTCTGATATATGTGCTTCACATACCTATGATGAGTTATATTGAAATGTCAAAGATTAGGAAGACACAATTGAAATGTTTTTAATTGAGATCATGGACCGATTGATGTTAGACCACCATCCGTGTCGGGTAGAGACAGGTATTTACCTCAATACAATGGTAGTTGGTCGCGCAATTTCGTGGATTGGTTGAGGTTAGACATAAACACCATTGGATGTCGGCTCAGTGGTCTAGAGGTCAAGCGTTCACACGCGAGGCTGAAGGCCCTGGGTTCGAGTCCCGCAAGCGGGATCGTGAATGTGCACTGCAGAGGAGCCCCACAATAGGACAGAACGACCGTCCAGTGATTCAAGGTTTTCTAAGGTGGTCTAACGCCACTCGGTTCATGATCTCAATTAAAAACTTAATAATCTCCACAACCTCTATACTGACAATTGAAACGTACCGCATTGTAGGTTTTCCGTCTGGTGATCACAACTAATGCCAAATATCTACACGAACCAAAAATATACGGCAAACGTTAAAACTCAATATACTGGTTATAATAGTTGTCATTGAAATAATTGTAATTTGGGTTAATTCTTCGTTTACTAATACCCTTTGGTATTAGTATTATATGATGTTTATTATCAATATTATTGCAATCACCACGATTATTATTATTACTAACCCTAATTACCCTTAGACTTAAAAGATAACGGGAGGTGGAAAAGTCGATGTCGAGAAGTATTTTGTTTAGTGGTTATATAATATTTGTCTCAATCGGTTTTGTGACCTGCTTGCTTAAAACGTAGTTTGACCAAATAAATGTAAATCTTTATATCTTCACGACATAATGGATTTGAAATTTATCCTTGTTAGCTTCTGAGTTCCCTACTTTTTTGTCTGTTGATTTCATTACAGAGTATCAAACAATATAATAATTGACTAGACCTTGGCAGTGATTGCTCTTCAAATGTTGGTTTCATGTCAGCTTTTACGAACTTATAGCGTGGTGTCGAGTGGTGATTGACTATGAACACCGCTACCAAGAAACTCGTTCCAAATGACTCCATAAAATCCCCGAGAAGCCAAATATCAGAAGGCAATTAATGGACCAAGTCGAGGTTTATTTGCTGGCGATCTCGTGGCATCGAAAGGATACCGAGATCATGCCAGGATACAAGCTTGGTTACAGAACGTAACCGAATTCGCGCGAAGTTACAATCGAAGTGTGTGAATAAGAATGGAAGCACAATATAGCTGTCATTAACACAGTCAAACAAAAGCACATTAAAACGAACACTGGTACATTTGGTTATAATAATAATTGTTTTTATTAAACCAGTCGTGTTCTCGTGATAAATGTGAGTCACTACAAACTAATGTGCTAAAAGACTTATTTTTAAAGGATAAACGTTCAGTTTAGTCAGTTGCTATTATTTTTATTCCTTTTATTAAGAGTAAAACTTTCAAAACACCAGTTATTTTCTTATTTTTTCAGACTCTATGGATCTTGTTTGATCGGCGTACGGTTTGTTTGTTTAACACAAGTAAGTATACTTGTAATTGTGAACAATAAAACCTTATACGTCATTTAAGGATAACTATTTTCTGTTATTAAATTACCCCACCTTAAAAACGTATCACTCATGAATACAAGTGAAATATTTAATATCTACTATTATTTCGCAATTAATTAATAACGTGCTCAGCATATATAGGTGCACGTAAACTGCTCTCCGTATTTCGTTCATTCAGCAGATGCACATTGAAGAATATGGTGTCATACAGTAGAATAATTACTTTGTTTGCATGTATTGAATAAACAGCGAGATAAGTACGTAGTTCTTAAATTATCCCCTCCTTTCCTTTCGTAGTCACAGTCTACTTGCTTCGTGACCTCATACACATACACACAAACTTACATTTTGAGTCACTGTTTTATTAATCTCATTTTCCTTTCCATTTATTTGTATTACGTTTACTTTGGCTATTTCGTTACTAAAAAACCAATAATCTGTGATAATCGGCGTAGCGTTAGTTAGTGGACGTTTATTACAATAGAAATCATCAGTGGAATAGATAATTTGC